TTCACTGTTAGAATGTACATATGATTAAAGTTATAGATCGTTGCATTCTTTGTAAGTGGGCAAACCTGCAAAATCAGCAAGGGCTCAAATACTTATTTCCCCCACTGTAGATATGAACTAATGAGTCTACTCATGGTATAATCATTACATGCCGTGTTTATTGACAGCAGAAGAGCATCCGTTTTTGCTGAGTCAGCACAAATTTTCCTGCGGCCGCAGTAATCCCAGTTTGGCACCAGTTTTTCTTTTTTCAGATAACAGTTCCATAGAAGTCCTTCTGTCAGGAGGGGATGATCTCAGGGGAGGACTCAGTTGCGGAGATGTTACGAAGGGGTTTATTTTAACAAAAAACACACTCAAAAGGAGTGGATGCAGACAGGGTTAAAAACAAGGCTGTGACAAAACTATGGACAAATTATCAAAGCAAGATTTAACATGACTATCAAATAAAGTAAACAAGGCTATGGCAAAGTATCAAAACAAGACTATGGCAAAAATACTAAATAAGGTTAACACGGCTATGGCAAAAATACTAAATAAGGTTAACAAGACTATGGCAAAAATACTAAATAAGGTTAACAAGACTGTGACAAAAATACTAAATAAGGTTAACAAGACTATGGCAAAAATACTAAATAAGGTTAACACGGCTGTGACAAAAATAAGACTATGTGAAAAAGTACAAAAATCAAAACCTTACGTGGCCAGGAACAATATTAGATTGGTTTTACTTTTTTTTTTTAGAAGACATCCCGTCTTACATGCTAGTAAAGACAGAAGAACAACGTTAGCAGCTTAAGAGTGTTGAGGTCTGAAACACTTTTGAATCATTCTTACATTTATGAAGATCAGCTTCACAGAGACGTTCTAATTCCACCGACAGAATCAGTTGTTTTAGTTTTAGTTTCTGCTGCAACGTAAAGTGGAAACCGAACAGGAAGATCTCAGAAAGTCATTTCTTTATTGTAATAATCCAGCAGGCATAAGCAGATCCATAAAAACAGCTATGAGCTGTTTCCAAAACCACAGTCGGACAACTTTATGCCAACTTATTCAGGTGCAATTATAAAGCCATTAAGAAAAAAACAGCCCTACCCCAAAGATCATTTTAATCGACTTAGCGGATTTAACCCTCAGTAACCGCAGAACTGTTAGTTTGGGCGTCTGATAGCTCAAACCGTGACTGTTACTGATCAGAAAACCAGATTTCCAAAGTTTGACATGAGGGGTGACGCATGTCACATAAAAACTGAGACATGTACAGGTTATTTATCACAAATGTGCATGAAACATGAAACAAGCATTCAATAAAGAATGCTTTTAGTCTCGTCTGATAAACAGATTAAAAGGAAAAACCCGGAAATGTTGCTCCTGTTGGTTAAAAATTAGACAAATGGAAGAGAAGAAACAGCTTTCAATGTTTTTTTCTGAGTGAAGCCCAATTTTTGTAGTTGGTGATATGGACTTTAAATTATTTTAAATAAAAAAGGGACGATGTGTAACGCGTAACCCGGAATCACCCGGAGAAAAGAGCGCTTTAAACAGCAGATTAATGACACTTTCTCCACGGGATGAGTTTCCTCTGCTGATTGTTCTGGGACTCCAAATTATCTTTCAGCGGAGGATGGAGGCGAGGAGGAAATGAGAGGAAGCTGCAGCTTTGCAGGATGAAGTTAGGGCATAAATGGTTTATGAAAAGGCTTTAACTGCACTTTAGCCAGGCACTTAACCGTGACACAACCCAGACACTCGGCATGACTTTATGCAATGAAAACCTCTGCTTTACACAATTAATTTAACCCTTTAAAGCCTGATCCAAGAAAAATAGGAAGAAGTCTTTCTTTGGCCCCTCAACAACATATGAAGAAAAAATGGATGCATTTAACCAATCACATTTCAGCCATCCTTTGTTGCTAGGCAGAGTCAAAGTCAAAGATGTCTGCCTGGAGGCCTTCACAATCCGTTCTGCAGCCCCCCCCCCCACAGAAAATACATGTCGAGTACACTGTTGCTTTAACCAATCAGATTTTAAGTTGGTGACACCGGGGCCTTCTAGAAGGCCTTAGGTAACGTCACCGTATTCACGGCCGCTGATTGGATAGTCAGATATCCAACACAGGGAGCAAAAAACAAGACATGATGAGAAACTGTTACGGTGGGGGAAATAAGTATCTGAGCCCTTGCTGATTTTGCAGGTTTGCCCACTTACAAAGAATGCAACGATCTATAACTTTAATCATATGGACATTCTAACAGTGAAAGACAGAATCCCAAAGAAAATTCCAGAAAAT